ACTCATTCTGTATTCCCTTTGCCTTCAGCAAGCACCTCAGCTGGTTGTGGTTCTTTATCTGTCTTTATGTCATGCCTTTGCTGCCAAGTAGCCATGCAACTTCCTTAATGCTTTACTGCTTAGAAATTTATTCTGCCAAATACTCTGATTCACAACTCCTGATTTCTAATTTCTAACGAAGATAATCGCTTAATATGTTTACAGTATATATACATAGAGCCATATTCTTAACACAATAGGGAAGACAATTACAATCCTCTTTTCTGTAACTGGTGACATGGTTGAAGCTGGCTTTTATAACTATCTTCTTCTACTACTCATTCTGTATTCCCTTTGCCTTCAGCAAGCACCTCAGCTGGTTGTGGTTCTTTATCTGCCTTTATGTCATGCCTTTGCTGTCAAGTAGCCATGCAACTTCCTTAATGCTTTACTGCTTAGAAATTTATTCTGCCAAATACTCTGATTCACAACTCCTGATTTCTAATTTCTACAAAGTCCTAGGGTGTGGACACAATACAAACCAAATTCCCTTCCAGTTCATAACAGGGTGATCTTTGCCTTGGTTTCCAATAAACTCCTTATTTCTTTATTTCTTATTTATTTATTTTTTTTTTTGTCCTTTTTGAGACCGGCCGCACTGCGCTCAGCCAGTGAGTGCACCGGTCAACCCTATATAGGATCCGAACCCGCGGCGGGAGCGCTGCTGCGCTCCCAGCACCGCACTCTCCTGAGTGCACCACGGGCTCGGCCCTAAACTCCTTATTTCTATGGAGACCTTGTTAGAATGATCTTTACAGTCCATATTCCGACCATATAACCAATCTCTAAAAATTTCCTTGGTTTTCTTGTCATCTTAACTTTCACCACCATATAGGCTTTTCCTAGCCTACTCCTCCAAATTCCTCCAGCCTCTCCTCAATACCCAGTTCCAAAGCTGCTTCCACATTTTCAAGTATTTTTTATAAGGAACACCCCACTCCTGGTACCAATTTTCTGTATTAGTCTGTTTCTGTTGCTTATAAAAAAATACCTGGAACTGGGTAATTTATAAAGAAAATGAAATTTATTGCTTTCAGTTTTAAGCTGGGAAGTTGAAAGTCCATCTGGTGGTGGTGACAATGACCTGGGGGTCTCACATTGCATGATGGTGGAAGCAAAGAGAGCACAGAAACAGACTCTCCTCTTCTTTTAAAGCTCTCAGAACCACAACCTGACCACCATTTTTAATTCATTCACTAGGGCATGGTCCTACAATCTAATCACCTCTTCAAGGCTCCACCTTTCAATTACAATAAGATTGCCCACCCTCTTATCAGTCACTGTGGGGGCTAAGTTTCTAATACATAAAACTTGTGGACACAGTTCAAGCTTCGGGGAGTTTTGGGGGACATAATTCAATCCACTACACCCACACAGACATGTACCCTTATGTACCTGCTCACTGACTTTTGTCACTTCCTCCCAGGCCTTGTCCCTATCTGAATTGACATTACTCTGTGGCCTCTGCTGAGTTAGGGAGGAGGCTCAGGGCAGGCAGGTTGTGTTCAGAAAAGAAATCACTGTATCTGTTCTTTCCATCCTGGGGATTATAACATGTCTATGTTTATGTATTCTGGAACACATTAGGTGCTTAATATATGTTTGGTGAATTAATGAATGCATTGAGAATTATTATGAGTGGGTTTCCATGTGTATATGAGAACATACAAAAAAGATACAGTACAAGGAGAGAAGAGAGAGAGAGAGAAGGAAAGAGAATGAGACACATAATGGGAGGCTAACAATGCAGGAGGCAGTCAGGGCAAAGAAAGATTTCAGGTGAATTACTATTTTAAGTGAAAGCTCTGATTTATCTGTCTGATAGGGATTCTTTTATGTCCAACTGAAGTCAGTTTGCATGAAAGCAGGTGAATTATCTTGTTGGAACACAATGACCTGTTCCAGAAAGCCCTGGGATTTTGCCTCCCAGGAGGTGTTCCAGGCAAAAGAAGTAAAAGGAAAATCATGTTTCTTTAGGAGAAGAAAATTCCCACTTGCTGCAATGGATTGCATTTACCCTGCCCAGCTGTGTCCTGAAACTTGTCTATTTTCTTCATTCCAGAAAGCATTCTGCTATTTATTTAGTCCTAGTACAACCTCAGGCAAATTTCCTAGGACATGAAGTTCCATGGGTTTCATAAAGGGGCCATGTTCTGGTCTCCTTCCCATTATGTTTTGCCTTGCCTTGATTTTTACACTTTAGCTTTTCTTCTCAGTACTTCCTCACAATCTTCTACATCCAGATGGTGTTATATTTATGCTCCATCAAATCAGTCACACATACCTAAGTTTTTATCAGGAATTTAAAAATATTCTGGTACATCTTATCCCAGTGATTTATTTAATGGTGCTCCATGAGTGATTTCAGTGGAATTAAAGAGGATAAACATTTGAGAGAAAATAAACATTGCCTTAAGGATATTTAAAGAGGTTTTCTTAAATAGACCTTTGTAAAAAAAAATAAATAAATGAATGAATAACAGTTTGCTTATTGATGTTAATGTCCAAGATTTTTTTTTAACTCAACATTGAACAAATTAACCATAAATAGAACTTTCAAATTGACTTTTGTTATAACCTATTAAGTAGAATTATATCACACTGAACATAACTTTTTCTTGAGTTCTTGATATAGACAGTTATTTTGGTAGAAGAGGAACATTTAGCATCAAGATAATTAGGAAAACAAAAATATTCTGAAAAAGTTATTTTTATTTATTTATTTATTTATGTCCTTACAGAATAACTGTTATTCTTATTTCCAAGTTGAGAGAATATAACACACCTTTCTCCAACAGGAAGTGATGTCAGTGGAGGATGAATCCACATCCTGTTACTGCCTTTTGGACCCCTTTGCTTGCCATGTGCTCCTAGACAGCTTCGGGACATATGCCCTCACGGGAGAACCAATCACAGAGTGTGCCGTGAAGCAACTCAAGGTGGCAGTTTTTGGCTGCATGTCCTGTAACTCCCTGGATTACAACTTAAGAGTTTACTGTGTGGACAATACCCCTTGTGCATTTCAGGTCAGCCTATTTTCTTTAATTCTTTTGGTGTCATGAAAGTATGGGGTTCCCTAAAGATCAATATCAACAGAGAAGTCTATGATTGAGGATCTGGAAAATGAACCCACACCACTGATTTGACTGGGATACCTATCTTGAAGCAAGAGCCATGTTATCGGGTGTCCAACAGAGCAAGAGGGGATGAGGTATTTGGCACTCAAAAACAGAGAAGAGTTAAATTAACACAGAGAATATCATGTACTAAATTAGAACACTGGCTAGAAGTGTGGTCAGAATTCAGAAAACAAAGATGCAGATGTGATAGAGGAGTTGGAGAACAGTTTTTGAGAACCCTCTGCAAACTTTCATGAATGGATGAGATTTGGGAGCAGAAGAGAAAAGAATATCATTTCAAGAGGGAAAATATCATGAGCCACAGGAACAAAAAGAGTTACTTGCTGAGCACAGGGCAGTGAAAAAACAGTTTGAATCAACTGAAGGTTGTAGGTAGGGAACAACAGTTATAAATCAAAGAATATCATTTCAAGAGGGAAAATATCATGAGCCACAGGAACAAAAAGAGTTACTTGCTGTGCACAGGACAGTGAAAAAACAGTTTGAATCAACTGAAGGTTGTAGGTAGGGAACAACAGTTATAAATCATACTATCACCAGGTTGCACACAGAGTCTATTATCAGGGCTACTAGGGCAGAGGTGGTTCAAGGTTTCTTTCCATTTTTAGTACTCTTAATCATGTAAGATTGATTTTAAATTAGCTACTCATGAAGAGCACGAGTTTATTAATAGCAGCAAGGATAATGCAGAACTGCCTGTGTAAGCTTTTCCCATATATAAATAGCATAGCTCTCCTGACACACCTCATTCCAGATCCCTGCTATTCCAGTCCCGGATCATTAAGTCCATTATGCAGAGCATTTCCTCAGTAACTAGATTTTAAGATACTGAGCTAGAAAACTCGTGTTTACTGATAGAAAAGATACAGTGACCTGTATATAAGCCATTAAAGGTGACACGGTGCCAGCCTGAGTTCCCACACCTTCCCTGTCTCTTAAGTAGCACAGGTCACTATGAAGAGCACACTTTATCTCTGGCTGGTCCTGAAAGGGGCTTCTTTCATATCATAGGTATGCCATTTTGTAGAGTAAGGGACTTCAGTTTAAGTAGATAAACTGCATCCTGTGGTTGCCACTGTATACGCTCATCTGCTCTCCCACCCCCAATAGGAGGATTTCTCCAAGAGAGAATACATAATGGACATTCAGTAAGCAAAAATAAAGAATGAATGTCAAAATAGAAGAGTTTATCTGAGGGTCAGTACGACCACTAAACTGTTGTGAAATGTACCATGACTCAAGGTGGATGTTTGGTAACTCAGCCAGACGTTAAAGGCTGAGTGACCTGAGTAAACACCGAGGCCCACGAAAGATTTCCAGTCCCCTGGCTCATGTGGATAACCCACTGTGGGCCACTGTGACTGTAACCGCCTTGGATGTCAGCCTCATAACCAGTTTGGAATTTTGTTTGAATAATAGTCTCACTGCTGATGTATATTCGAGTGAGACAGACATTTGACTAGAAAGTTTATTCTCAGAGCCTTTCTGATAATCTGCTTTCAAGCCTCATAACCAGTTTGGAATTTTGTTTGAATAATAGTCTCACTGCTGATGTATATTCGAGCGAGACAGACATTTGACTAGAAAGTTTATTCTCAGAGCCTTTCTGATAATCTGCTTTCACTCTTGTTGGTTGCTACTGGATTCTACAACAGCTCACTGTTCACATGTGATTATGAATTGCTGTGGAAGTCATGAGAACTCAGCCCTAAGCACAGCTTTGCACACCTTCACTCATTCCCACTGGTAATATACCCTTCTTAGTCAGTGCTCGGGAAAATGTTATCCCTGTAACTGAATTAAAATATCTTTATTTCATCATTTAGAGGTATCTTAAATTAGTAAAACTCTTTAATTTTGCTTTACAGAAATAGTTTTCAGTACAAATACCTTTGACCCTATTCATTGCAATCTCTTTACCTCCAGAGATTCATTCTCTCTTCTGTTATGTCAAATAAAGGTGACTTTAAAGTTGGGTTTCGTTGTAGTTGCTGTTGACAGGATGTATGTGACAGCTGTCACGAGCAGCAAAGACTGTGCTTCCCCCCCTGGGGTTCTGCAAGATCATCAACCTTGGTTGAATAGCTTTTCTGGCCCACAGATACATTAAAATGTAACTTGTAACTTTTCTGAACTAAAACTTCTTAGTCCAGGAAACAACCATTTACTCCCCAGTCTTAGTCTGTGGTTTCTGTGTCTGAAAGGATCTCACTTTCTGGATTTTTACCTTGCTAATTGAATGTGCTCAGGGCACCTTAATATCTCAAATCATCTCTGTCATATTTTTATGGCTTCATACATGATATCTAATTAGGGGGGAAATTATGTAGTTGCTAACTGATTAAAATAGTTCCACTGTTAAAAAGCTTTAGCAACAGTTCACTTTTTGAACCTCTGAAACACTTCACAGATTATTACCATCCCCAACTTGTGTGGTGTAAACCGAAAGTATGCTATACAGTGGTGACTCGTTTCCTGCAACCTTCATTGAACCGACTTCTTAATCAAAATTAACATGTAGTTTTTCATGGAGCATTTCTGCAGAAATTGCTCATCCTGGAATTTGATTCAGCTATTACTATAATGAAATATTTGTCGTGATTAGGAAGTAAATCCAAGCATGGCTGTGACAGCTGCTTCTATCTATTGTAGTGCATCTTTCCTATCTCAAAGAAGTGACTACAAGTATGTGCCCAACTAGAGCTGTACTCTTAACCAAGAAGGAAGCCTGGTTAAAGGGCTCAGCTGCCTTCCATTTCATTCATATCTCCCTGGGAAATTATGTCCCATAAAGCACTTAAAAGCTCACCTCTCACTGGAAGACCTTGCAAGAAAGAAATCTTTCATACCCAACTCCACCTGTCCTCTCAGAAATCAGAGGGAGCCAGGCAACATAATGACCGCACCAAAGAATATTCTTTCAGAGAATTTTGGTAACTGAATAGAAACAGTCTCTGTTTTCAGTCGTGTCTCTTCCCCCTATACCTCCTGCAGCACTGCTCTGCCAGCTTCTCATTTGCTCTGGAGATAGCTTATCTGAATAATAGTAGCAGTTTCTTTGCATGACCCAAACAAAATGCCTCATATGCATGACTAAGACATAATTAATTTAGTTTCAGATTTTGCAGATCTCTTCTGATAAATACCCCTATGGAAAATTAAATCGTTTCAGACATGTTTTAAAAAGATGAAAATGTCATCTGCCTGAAGGGTAACAAGAGAAAGACTAAATGACTTCCTGTCCTTCCTGCCTGTGTGCTTCTGTAATAATTAGAGCTGCCATTTTATGTTTGTGTGTGCAACATCGTCTCCTTTGATAAATTCACACCAAAGGTTGAGGAATGAGGATATATTTTCAAAGCAGTAACATTTTAAGACCTAGTTTTTTGTTATTGTGTTTTATTACCTGCTGACACACACACACAGCTCTGACAAACCTTGACATACAGAAAACAAGGACTTAAGCACTTGCACTATCTCACCTTAGAAAGAAAAAAGAAAACACAACTAGTTTTTTTTCTGCACTGCTTCCAGCACTCCTATTCAGTACCTCTCAGTACTCATTACTTACTTGGCATTAATGTGGATTTAGAATCTAATTTCAAAGGATTTCCTCCAGATGTAGTTCTTATGTTTATCAATAATGCAACTTTGGGAAATATTGTTCACGTAAAGCATTTAAAGAAAAACACTACAGCGACATAACTTGGGTGTGTGTGTGTAAGTTCAAACAGTTTTGTCTCATAAATATGTAAATTCGGCTGCCTGTTTTAGTGTCCCTGAAGCACACCTGAATATTGCTGCCTGTCTCATTAAATCAACATAAAGAGCTCAGTGAGGTTTAGAATCTAATTTCAAAGGATTTCCTCCAGATGTAGTTCTTATGTTTATCAATAATGCAACCTTGGGAAATATTGTTCACGTAAAGCATTTAAAGAAAAACACTACAGCGACATAACTTGGGTATGTGTGTGTAAGTTCAAACAGTTTTGTCTCATAAATATGTAAATTTGGCTGCCTGTTTTAGTGTCCCTGAAGCACTCCTGAATATTGCTGCCTGTCTCATTAAATCAACATAAAGAGCTCAGTGAGGTACAAGTTTCTCCCGGCCACAGCTCCTAGAACTGGAGGACGTGCAACCCCCGATGTGAAATGATGGAAAATGTCTAGGAAAACCACCATCCAGAGCTGTCAGGTGCATTTCATATACAAGAAACTGGCCAGGCTCTACTTTCTCGTTTCATTAACTCAGATACTAATTGAACAATGGAACTGGACATAGAACAGGTCCTTACCATCTAGGAGGCAGACAGGAAAATTCAAGTGAACGTCAGGCCTCACTCTTGGGGTGGTACATCCCCATGAGTGATTCACCAGGACTAGCTCAGCAGGGCTGTTTGTAGCACCAATGCCCAAACCTGGCTGGGCATCGAAACCATACGAGAAGTTTAAAAGCACAGCTGTCCAGGCGCAGCCCCTGAGAGTGTTACAACAGCCTAATGGCAGGACCAGGAAGTTTGCGTTAAGTGCCACCCATTCTATGCGGAGGTAGTTTTAAAGCTTGCACTTTTTATTTCTTTAACTCTGAAGCCAATTGTGCCTTTACAAATAGATAAATACAATGATTAGTTCATTATTGGGCTTTCTCATTTTAATTGTTTTGGTACAGAATAACTATAATTGCTTAATATTTTGTGGAAGATTAGGAGACGCTGTTAATTGTATATAGTTGGTTCGATATGTGCAGATTAAAGTAGCAAGCTAAAAAAGCAAAAAACAAATCATGGTTGTATTTAAATTTAGGGCATTAAAGCAGAAATTTTTAAAAGGTACCCTTTCCTCTCTGATAATTATAAGTAGATGTCCATTTAAAAAATTCCTAATATTCATTCTGCATTTCAGGGCCTGTTTAGACAATATATATAACTCTAGGACAAATAAAGACTGAATTATCTTATACATATGTCTCATATCAGTGAAAAATTATTTATGGGACAGTTAATAGCAGTCTGACTCTCACATGACTTTTTAAAAAAATATCAAGCATAGCATAAGAAGAGGCAGGAAATCTAAAACAAAAAAACACTAGACTGAGATCAGGGTACCCTGTTCTAGTCTTAGCTCTTTATTAACTATGTGGCTTTAGACAAATAACTTGGGAAGAGGCTTATCTGTAAATAAGGTAGTGATCAAATCTTCATTAAGTTTCTTTCTAATATAATAATTCTGTGTAGTTTCTAAACATTACAGTCGCCTCATACTGCACTAAGTAATGCATGATCTTGGATAAGTTACTTCATCTCCTGATGTCAGTTTAACTTCCTTGTACATTAAGGCAAGTTAAATTTTAAAGAAATGGGGTATGAATTAGCGAACTTAGTTCAGATACACTTAGAAGAGTCAATAGTCTTATTATACTGCGGCTTTTATATGTTTTTAATAAGCATGTTTCTTATTTGTACATGTTTCTAAACTTGCACCAGAATTGCTAAAAGAGGTCAATATAATATCATGATGTTTACTTTGCTTGGCCATGAATAAACCCAGGTAAGGAACTGAGGACTAAGGAAAATACATAATTTGCTCAAGACCACACAGAAATTTGATTGAAATCTGATTCCTCCGTCTTTGGTTTACAAGATTAGTACTCTTTTGTGTATACGTCGTCTTCCAGAGATTCATATGCACCTTAAAACCTGAGCAATACTGTTTGAAAATAAAATACCAAGCCCTTAGCATGGCAAGCAAGAATTGATGACTTGGCCTGTGCCCTCTGTCTTCATCATCTCCAGTCACACACCTTCCACCCAATCTCTGTCTCAGCTGCCAGGCACCACGCCATTTTGCAGGTCCTGCTCAGTGTCTGCAATGCCCTCTCCCTCCTATCCAAGTGGGCAACACCTATATTTACTTCAAGGTTGAACTCGAACATTACATCTCTATTAATTCCCTGACCCTCTTCCAGGACTCACCTCCCATCCAATCAGGCGCCCTCTGTCTTCCTTTACCTCCCAGCATATGGGGATTGTAATACTTAGATCCTATATTATAATCATATGCCTACTCTTCTAACCCTCTCACTAGACTGTGAGCTTCTTGGTGGAAGGGACTGTTTCATTTCTGTATACCCAGCACCTAGCTCGAGCATAGCTCTGGTGGACACTTACTAAAGCTCAGAAGAAAGAACCAATGACCAGCATCCGTAAGAGGCCAAATGTCTCACCAAGTAGGCACTTAGAATCATCTCCCTTTCCTCCCTACCCTGCCATTTTCCTTCCACTCTTTGCAGCCCCCATCGGACTCTGGCTACTATGTTATTGTGCCCAACACTGAAATCCACAATGTTATGAATTCCATAACACTGTACTGTTCAGTACAGTAATTGCGAACCACATGTGGGTATTTAAATTAAATTAAAATGAAAAATTCAGTTCCTTAGTCACCGTAGCCACTAGTGCTTACTAGGCACTGCTGCTAGAGGATACCATAATGCACGGCAGATAGAGAACATTTCCATCATCGCAGCAAGTTTAGCATTGATCCAAGGGTCACCCCTCTCACTGGCAAGACCGAAGCCCTGGAGAAAATGACATTGGAACTCAATCATTTAGTCCTGAAAAACGTCACTAGGAACCTGTTAATAGTTGATGTGAACGTAAAGGATAAAGGTTGAGTGGCTACTTCTTAGAAAGGCTTTTATTAATGTTATTCTACTTATAGACAGGAAATGGATAAGATAACCTGTAAAGCTGCTTTTACTCACTAACAATTAAAATGTAAGTTCTATTGTATTTATAAACCTATTTGCCTTATTTCTTACAACCTTTTTTAGAACCTGGTTTTAAGAATCTGGGAAGTTTATAAGACATCACAGATTTCAGTTTTTGTGTTTCTCTGAGCTCTGCAAGGAAATTATAAGTCAATTAATGGTGATTTTAAAAACGGATTTAGAGAGAACTCTTGTTTTCAGTAACACTGAAAACCTCGCCCCTGCAAGTAGTATAACGTATTACAGAATATTTGTTCTGTTATTTCAGTTGTCCTGTCATCTCTCCAGTATAATTCCAAACACTGCAAATTTAGAACCAATTAAGTGGTTTACTCAATAAAATGTATTTGGGATGTGTTTGTATTAGATACAATCATAGAAATTTCTCAGTGAATAATAGAGGAGTTTTTACCTCAGGAATTTGATTTTTTTTTTCCCTGAACTAAAGCTCACTTGATAAACAACTATTGGGGTGTTTTTGGCTTTTTTGCATAATATTTGTTATAAACATTAGTATAAACAAACATAATATATGCATTCTGGGACATTTATTTTAAGCCAAAACAATAAATATCAGATAATAACTGTGCTAGTAAAGAATAATGGAACCAGAGCGGAGGAGCTGTTTCTGTCTTCATTGTGAAATTTGCTGATGTGTCAGGTTAAGTACAAGTACATCCCTTGATCATGGTCATATCAGAGAATAAACTTCATATCCTTGTGGAAACAACAGTATTATAATCTGCTTGGGAGCAAGGGAGGTCTTTTGGTTTCAAAGAAAGGTGCAGGGTGTTCAAAACCCTAAGCAACACAAACAGTGAAGAGCAGTTGTCTCTTTCTTTCCAAATCCTTTAACCCAGTAGGCTTTAGTCCTTCGTTCTGAACCTTGCAGGGATGTGGAGAGGTGGGAAACGTGTGTGTCCATCACTGTCTTCACCTCTGGGAGACACACGGTCGTGAGCAGTGATACCCACGGATGGAGAGGACCTGAGGCACCGGATGCTTCACTGCTGCTCCTCTTTTCTCTTTCCTCTTCTTCAGGAAGTGGTCTCGGATGAAAGGCATCAGGGCGGACAGCTGCTGGAAGAACCCAAGTTGCTGCACTTCAAAGGGAACACCTTTAGTCTCCAGATCTCTGTCCTCGATATCCCCCCTTTCCTCTGGAGAATTAAACCATTCACTGCATGCCAGGTACCGGCCAATGGGTTTCTAACACAAATAGCTGTGCTTTAACCAGCGAGCATGTCACAAACCCTGGGGAGGGGCATCCTCCTTCCAAGGACGCATGGCATCTCAAGACTGTCACAGAAGGTAACCGTCTGGGCTACACCAGGGAATGAGATATACTGTCCTGAATTCACAGGTCTCTAACAGGTGGGGAAAAGGTGCTTGCACGTCAGGTACTGTGGCATTTCTCTCTCCTGTTTGAATTGTTGTTCAGTGTAGGTTGAGGACGGCAGTTTAACAACCCAGAGCAAGGTTTGTCTGTTGGTATGTTTTTATTAAAATCAGTTCATTATGGGACACTGTTTTAATCATATTTGGCAGTGAGTAAACTGAATGTCAGTGAGAAACTTTTTAAAGATGATGATTTTGAGTTAGTGAGGTCCATGGCTGGCCAGCTGAGACCAAGAGATTTCTGTCCTTTATATATGAAATGCTGGCTCCAAATGAAGTGGTCCTGATGAGAAGAAGAAATTACAAATTGGAAAGCAAAGAAAGGGCAATGCCCCTGCACAGTCCTTTTGTAAATATATAGAAAGTTTATATATCATTGTCCATATGTCTCTTGTTAGAGATTTCTTTTAACACAGCAGGGCGACTCAGAGTCTCTTTGGGTCATTTTTAGGATTTTGAGTACATACTTAGCATGAAAAGATCCCTCATCAACTTGGGATCCTGCCACTGAGGTCGATGAGAATTCCCAGTGATAAGCATTGTTTCTGTAAGCAGCTAGCTAGTCTGCCAGAGTTTCATAAGCCAGCATCATCTGTGCTTCAAGTAACAGGACATTTCCTTAACTCTGGAAGAGCCTCTGGTGGACTCACATTCATCTGGAATCACAGGACACTTTCAAGCTTTTTTGTTCTGCCCATCGGCATACTGTGCAGAGCCCCGTATTTTTTATTTTTTTAACATTTTCATCCTTGCAGAATTCATTGTTTAAAAAGTCTGTGGACAGGTATATCAGTTTGTCAGAATGGGAATAAGCCAGACCACAAAGAAAAAATCTTGACTGTCCCATGAGAGAGAAAAGTTGAACCACCAACCCTTTCAACTTCTGAAATTAGGAATTTCCAAATTGGGCAAGACCACAGTTTTCTATTTACTTTTCAGACTTTTCATTACCTTGGGAATTGCCCCTCTGTACAGTTTCAGTTCATTCAAAGCAATATGAATGTCTCTCGTGGCCCCAAACAATTTCTTTCTTTTTTTTTTTTTTAGCACGTTTCCTTATGGAGAGAAGTTTTCTATGAATAAATGAATTGTTGATGATGTTCAAGACCTAGGTATCTTTGTTTTCAAGTAAGCAGCATTCAAAGTTTGTAGTCCAAACTGAACTTCAGAGTATTGCTAAAACAAGTCCCAGTAGTCTTACAGATTTCTCTGTATTAAACATTGTGGGTTATAAGGGCCTCATTTCACTGGATCTAATGAAATCACTCAGTCCAAAGTAACTTAAGTTTAATGCTTGGAGATAAAAAATAAGATGAAAGAACCATTACCTTGCATCAGCATTTAAACAATAATTCCAACCCCAGGGATACCCAAGAGAGATCCAGGCATAAGGGGCTTAGGGGGCTAAGAGCCTGCTGACCTCAGAGGATGCAACAGAACCAGCCAAAGTCAGAAGGCTTTGGCTTGCAAGGAAGCCCAGCCAGCTTTACTGCCCAACCCGTCCCGGGCTGGCGTGCATGAAGGTTGTGAACATGTACAAATATTTGCCTTTTTGTAACTGAGCATAATTTTGGAAGAGTCTTGGAAGGCTGAGAAACAATTTAATTTTCTCTGTATCAGGAGGCTTGCCACTGAGTTCATTTCCACTTCATTTTTCTTACCCAAAATGGCTTTCCGCTCTATTCCTCCTTTCTGTTCACTGCCTCCACCACCAATTTCCTTGCCCCTGTCATCATGGAAATCCCTCGGCTTGTGAGAATGCATATTGTGCTTGGTTTAATGGCCATGCTGTGTTTGCTCGGGGCAGTAGATGTAAGCACTTTGGGGAGGGTGTGTGTTCAGCTTTCTTGAACCTCGTGGAGGACATTGTGTGCACTGGCAAACTTGGCGTGGATAAGAGAGGATGGCTTTTCACTAGGGCTTAGTGGTTAGGAACTAACAGGCCCTTTTTCTTGTTATCCCAGAACACGATTGTGGAGACAGAAAATCATACTATTCCTGACATCACTGACAGGTCTCTCCTTCAACTGGTTAGTCTTCCATTTTAATACATGGAAGACCCCTGGTAGCATCAGCTTCTCATTCCTCTCTCTTTTTCTCTACCTTTAAATCAGGAATCTGGGAATTGACATATTTTAGTTGTACCCAAACCCCACTCTCCCAGGAAATCTTGTTTCCTTCTGAGAAAGGCACAATTTCCCAGGAAGGTATAAACCTTGGAGCTCTCCAATGCATAATATATTTGCCCTACTGGACACCACCAGATTGCTTAAGAAATGTTTTTAGGATGGTGTGAGTTCAAGGTAAGGTCCAGAGCTACACGATGAGAGCCTAGATATAGAAGAGCCAACTAGATTTGAAATCTCTTTGGTTTGGTTTCTGGAGGATCACACCTCATGGGATGTTATGCTACAACCGTTACTGTTCACAGACCCAAGAGTGATGGGTGGGAGGAGAGGAGAGGCTTCGTGAGCTCCTCAAAGGTCCACTTACAGTTGCACCCGTTGACCTTGGTGCAAAGAACTGAGGCCCACAGGGCTAGTCCCCAAATAAACAGTTTATTATTCCTTATTTTCTTCTCAGACTTTAAGACTTTACCACAATTTGGGATATGCTATCGCCCTCTCCACAGAATTAGCAACCCACCTCTACGAGGTAAATAACTTTGCTCTCAACAGGTTACTGTCACCGAGAGCTACCTAGTCCTGGTTTCCTTTACTCCTTGCTGGCTGTGGGGTGGGGAAGCTGTAACAAACGGAACACAATACATATTCATTTATTTTTTAAATCCAACAGAACACAAAGTCGGGTTGTCACCTCCCTAGGATAAAAGCAGCTGTCTGTTCGGCATGCTGTGTATCTTGGAGAAGCCCGTGTCTGTCTCCTGCTAGGATATGATTTATATTCTCTCCAAGCTACCTAGTCCTGGTTTCCTTTACTCCTTGCTGGCTGTGGGGTGGGGAAGCTGTAACAAATGGAACACAATACATATTCATTTATTTTTTAAATCCAACAGAACACAAAGTCGGGTTGTCACCTCCCTAGGATTAAAGCAGCTGTCTGTTCGGCATGCTGTGTATCTTGGAGAAGCCCGTGTCTGTCTCCTGCTAGGATATGATTTATATTCTCTCCATCTGCTTGGAACCTAATTATAATGGGAATCAAAATGAAAACATTTCCGGAATTCTTTAAACACCCATAACTTTGCTTCATTTTGTCCTCCCATATTACTTTCCACATAATCCCTCTCAGCTCAGTGAGCATGTTGGTGTTTTTTGTTTTTGTTTTGTTTTTTGTTTCTTGAATAAATGAAAGCAAAGATGATTGCCCTGAAAACACACTAATCATAGTGCTTCTAATTCTATTATTTTTAAATGTTTTGTTGAGAACATTTTTGTTGAAAAATTGGCAGCTGCTACTCAAGTCGACAATCAAAAAAATTCTTTTGATACTTCTTAAAATCAGATTTTTAAAATGTTTTGATTGTGTGCAGTGGAATGGAAAGAAAAGAGGAATTTTTTGTGTGCTGATTCGCTTCTTTCTGCAAAGAAAGATTATCTCTGCAGTGGGTATTACTCTTTCACCTTTTTTCCAGTGTTTTCAGAAGAAAATACAGGAAATTCACTTTTAAATAAGTGGTCAGCGCCATTTTTTAAGGAAGGTAAGCATTACCAAGAATTCAAATCCACTGCAAAAAATGTGGGTTTGCTGAAGAGCTGGACCTCGATCTCAGCTCTTTGTAGTCCTCAAGTCCAAGCCCTTGCATAACGCTTTAATGATTCAAACTTCCAGCTTTATAAAAAAAAAACAGAAACCTCCTTAATTAGCGTGGTTAGGCGAACCTACCTTAGGTTAGGTTACAGCATCTGTTAACCGCAGACCCCTGTGTGTTATAGTTACTTTCATGGAAAGGGATGCTGCCAAGTAACTCTACAAAAATTTACTGGTTTGGAGAAGAGAGTTTATTTTTTAAGGGCTAATAAAAATGAGAATGGAGAGAGCAAGGATAGGGCAACATGGTGGAAGCCCTTGCAGGCCAGGTCAGAAACAAGGTTAACACGGCAGGGATCGGGGCCACTGTGACTCCCCGGAGCAAAGGGATCATGTGCTGAAAGCAGAGTTCCCAGGTGGCCTGGTCACATCAGTGTCTCCCACCCATGGTGAGAGGTAGAAGAGAGACCGTAAAGCTATTCCCTGAAAAACATCGATCAACTGTTCTCTGTTTCCCTCTCCCACCCAGCCCCGGCCCCCTCATTGGCTCTGACTAGTAGAGATTGACGGCAGGAAGGCTGGTGAGCAGGTTACGATGGTTGGCTCTGATGAGGTGCGGTGCGGATAGGAAAACTGGAGGGAATGGGAAAGGCGGAGAAGAATGGGACAGAGATGGTGATAAACGGTGCCAGGGAAAGAAAGGCCGATTAAAATGATTTGTAGGGCTCGGGTATAATGCCAGGGACTGACAGTGATGAGACAGATACCAGAAACATTGTTACTGGCTTCACGTGCAGAGAGATGGCAGCTGGGCAGGTGTGAGCAGCTGGCTCTGGTAGAGGACAGTGGGCAGAGAGAGGAGGAGGAGGCGGGGATGTGGGGTGGCGGCTTCCACCGTTCACAAGATGCAAGACGGCTCAGGAGGAGAAGGAAGGCGAGAGTCGGATGAGGTCAAAAGGAGCGATGCCAGAACCCGTACGTACGTAGTACGGTGCCGGTGAAAAGGCACTGGTGAGTGTTGTAGGGAAAACGACTTCCTCCGAGGGTTGCAGGGAGGCCCCACTGCTCAGAACTGCCTTCTGCTGCAGTGTCTGCTACCAGGAGGGGAGTAAAACTTTCTGTATGGAAAGAAAAGGGGAAGCGATACCATTAGCTGGAACTGTGCTGTCAGCTGGTGGAACAAGCTAGTTGAGCCCCAGCCACAAGCGTCCTCAGTGACACTAGCTTGGTTCCTCCCCCAGCATTTCCCCTGGACGATGGCCTCCCTGTGGAACCCACTAGCGGCACCTTTCACTGTTGTCCAAATCCTATCAGTTTCTAAAAGAACTTCTTCAAACCCACTGGAGCTTCATTTAGAGAATTGTTTTGGTCAAGAAAACAGAAAACACAAGATATTCCAACCAAAGGGAAATTTAATCAAGGGATTTATGTGTGTATTAGTTTTCTGTTGCTTATAACAGAATAGCTGATATTGGGTAATGTAAAGAAAAGTTTATTTCTTACAGTCCGAAGTCCAGGGGCCACATCTGGTGAGGGCCTCCTTCTGGGTGGGGTGACTCTCTCCAGCAACTCAAGGTGTCACATGGTGAGAATGACCGAGCAAAAGAAAGCTAACCTCACTCGCTCTCCTTATAAGGCCACCAGAACCACGCCCACGATAACTTATTACTTCATAAATGGATGAATCCATTCATGAGGGCGCAGTCCTCACAATCCGACCACCTCTCAAAGACCTGACCTTTCAAATACCATGACTGGATTTCTCACCCTCTTAACACTATTCCAATGGAGATCAAGTTTCTAATACATGAACTTCGGGGGGACAGATTTGACCCATAGCAAGGTGCTTAGAAAACCTTTGGAGAGCTCGAGGGAGTCAAGATCAGAGAGAGTCACTAGTGACGTTGGGAAACCAGCAAGTTCAGGAATCTCAGGAAACCCCAACAGCACTGAAGCAGCTGATTCTTGGGAATGCCCGGATGCCCCTGCAAGCCTGCGGGGTGCTGTTCCGGAACCCTTGGGCCTGCCTGCTGGCGTCAGGGGACCGGATGGCCTCCGCGTCTCCTCTCCCTTCCAAGACCAGCACGAGTGCCTCTCAATGGCCGAGTGCAAACATGAACTCCCTGCTGGTGGAGGAGTCCTTAAAACATAGTTTTCAGGCTTCCAGTCCCTGCCACGCAGGGGAGAGCTGAGCCTGGCAAAGACATGCTGCAAACCGACAAACCACACCTTGCCAGGAATAGTCAGTGAAATGCCAGATAGTGTCACATAGTAGACCTTCTCGGAGTCCTTTTCAATCCTTCTTGAGATGCAAATCCACTGCCTTTCCTTTGGTTTAGTGGTAAGAACAAACAAAAACCACACACAGTTTCCGTATCAGTACCGAGGTGTGGGAGGGCGAATGGATGACGTTTTTCTTTCACACTCCCTAAAGCGGTCCCCTCTCTCCGAGTTTGCAACCATCCAACATCCTTCCCTCCTTGCTGGTCCCCCAGGAAGTATCCAAAATCAGCATCTGTGTGACTTCCTATAGAGGGAAGTAGGGAACAAGGTGTACAAACGTGGGTGCACACTAGCACCCAGGAATAACCAGGTAACTGTTCCTCAAAGTAGATAAACTGAAATTTAATCAGGGTGCTTCGTCTTATAACTCATGCTGACTTGATCAGGAGTCACACTTTGGAGTCCCAAATTTCCAGACTTGATATGTGTTTTGCTACATTTCAGTTTTATTATTGCAGAAAATTATATTTTTAGCAACAGGTAAAGGAACACGTTAATAAGATGAGAAAAAGAAAAAAAGTGAGGACGTGGATTAGTAGAAGCAGGGCATACATGCCGATGGTCCCTACCACGTTTGAGTAAAGAGAAACTAAACTTAGTACATGAAAAAATATCAGTGGCATATTGTAAAGTCACATGCCAAAGCACAGCCCAATTGGTGGCAAGAACTGGCTAGTATTTGGAAAAATGTGTGATCTGTATAGATTGTACATTTTTCCCCCTCATGTAGTAAAAATTACTTTTGCCACTCAGCCTAATTTGTTACTATTTCTTATTGTTTATCTGTGAGCAGTACAGTGTCTAGCCACTAGCAGGCAGTTTGAACATATTTGTGGAATGGATGAATGGAATAAATGAAGAGTTGGCAAACTAGATCACTCTGGGAGGCTAGGTGTGTTGTGTCTCTGGGTTGTGTGTACACGTGTGTAATTTCACAGTAGGTATTAGTGTTTATGGTGGGTACTTTAGCAATAGCATGCTCTCGCACAATTCTGCACGAATTTGTGGTGTGGAGATGAATTCTGGTCAGTCGGTTCCTAAGCATACTTTTCACTTAAGACGATATCATCCTACTCCACACTAGGTAGAAGGATGGACCATAGGAGTCTTCTCAAAGAAAATAGGTTTTAGTGCAAAAAAAAAACATTAGTTTTTGATGGTCTTTCTAACCGTGTGTGTCACCAAGTGAAATGTGAGCTTTGGCAGTGTGGTTTTGGAATTCAAATGTTATCCATTGGAATGGACATTAATTACTTTTGTGCTGCTTGGCATATGCTGGAACATTATTTCTACAACAGTTCCACCAAAGGCACTTAGGCAATTACCTCTGCTGTGGTCGTCACCATCATCAAAATTATTACGTCTCTCCTGTTCTCCGCTCAGCTCGGCCGGATCCTGCACACCATAGCCCCCCTCTGTCCTTCCTCCCCGCTGCAGGAGGTCCCGTTCTCCCGCGTGTGGTGCAGTAACAGGCAGCCCATGCGCTGTGCCTTCTCCCTGGAGCGCTACACACCCACCACCACCCAGCTGTCCTGCAAAATCTGCATCCGGCAGCTCAAAGGCCATGAACAGATCCTCCAGGTGCAGACGTCGATCCTAGAGGTGAGTCCTTGATGTACAGGTCATTCGACCCCCTTCCTAAAGGGCAATAAGAATAATAAAGCTGTACTTAGCTCTGCTATTCAGGTTCGGAAAGAGCTTCACAATGGATGAACTCTTTTAATCCTCACTACTGATAAGGGAAAAAAAATCTTTTCTCAGGCTGAGGAAGGAACTGAGCTTCTACTAGGCAGGGAAATTCAACCCATCAGAGAGCTTACACTGTGAAAGGAGCTGGTACAGGGGTCTATACACAAAACCCAAGCAGTCTCGTAGTCCATACCAGGCTTGGCGTATCAGCTGAGATTTATTATAGGCTGAAGGCAGGTGGTGCAGCTGAGATGCAAAGAGGCACAAGGTTACCGTGGGCTGTTCTCCTGCTGGTTCCAACTAGCTTTCCAGAAGTCAGTTGCCCCTATATGTTATTTCACCTTTAGGGCCTGCGCTCCTGGTTTTCTTACATTTCTCATGCCCTTCAGGCTCCAGATTCTGCACATCCACATTTCCATTAAGCCTAGATTTATCAGTAGAATAATATAAGAAGAACAGGGTAAATGTTAATCTCATTCTACGAAGGAAATGGAAGTGCCAAGAGGTAGAGGGCCTTGTCCAGCTCCTATCACTGCTGAAGGGCAGAGTTAGAATGGGATTCAAAGGAGATTCACCGGGAAAGTTTACAAAGAGACGTCTGATCTCCGCCATGGCTCTGATTTTCCCTAAACCACAGAATGACATCATGGCTTTGGACTTGAGCTTATAGAGTAGACAATAACAGTCCCTCCAGAATGGTTATTTAGGGGTAGAGGGTTTGTTTAGCATTTTCAAGGTAATTCCTGTCTAGCATAGGAAAACATTTTATTGTCCACCTGTAGAATATATATATATACACACACACATACATATACATATTTACCAGAATATAAATAGTATATATTTATTAGTTTAGGGTTGGGAGAGGTTGAACACACTTATGTGTTAAATTATTATGCATATGAGAGGTCTTCAAAAAGTTCATGGAAAGATTCATATTTTAATTCCATTTTTCCATTAATTTTTTGAAGTACCCTCATAACAACTCAATTTCAGAGTTTTATTTGAAAATTTGTAGCCACATAGCATTATCACTTCTCTCCATTCTATTTTTAATTCATTGCTTATGCAAAATAAACATTGCTAATTCCCCAAATAGTTTTCTGTGGAGAGTAGATGGCTTTCCAAAGGATTGTGTCTTAAAACTGACAGCTGCCTTAACTGACGTGTTTATGCAGTATTTGCATTCATTATTACCAATTAACATTCTGTGCTAAAGCAGTTTTGATGGAGAAGGTAGATCCGGAAACCAGGAGTAGGATATTTTTAGACACTCTTTTTTTGAATGGTTATGGCATATTTGACACAATACATTTCAAAGTGAAATTGAATTGTAGGAAAGTTTTAAAATAAAAACAAAAAGAAAATCCAAGAACTATTATTCAGAATCAAGCATGAAAAGGCAGAACATAAAGATGCCTCAGA